CAGGCGCTTCGCCGCGCTGTGGCGGGAGCGCCGCTTCCACACCATCTTCTAGTGAGTGAGGAGCGCCGGCCGGCCCGCCCGCCTCCGGGCCGCCTCCTTAGCGGCCTGCCCGCCGCGAGCCGCCCCTAGCGGCACCGGCTCGAAAGACACCGGGTCTGGCCGCCCTTTCGCGTCTCTCTGCGCGGTGCTCGGCGGCTGAGCCTCGCCTCGCCTCGCCTCGCCTCGCCTCGGGGAGTGTGTCTTCCCCCGCCCAAAGCCCACAGCTCCCCGCTGCTGAGCTTGCCCCTTGGTAGTGCGGGGGACCTTAAAGGGGGGTGTTGGTGAGCCCTGTTTCCCTTCAGGCATGGTTTTCGGGAAAGGTTTGCCTGACTGGTGTGTAGGTAAGAGGCAATGCAGCATCGGTCCCTGTGTAATACTGAAAAACGGTTATTAGTTCAGTTTATTTTGTACGTTAGCAATGCATGTGACTTGAACACTGCTGCTTCAGGGAGTTCGATGCAATGCTCGTGATATGAGATTAAAAAATATGATTACAGTGTATCCAATTTTTCACTTTACATCTAATTTAATACAAGGAATTACATGCAGTGTTGTGTGAGAGCTTAAGGTCTGGCTATCTTTGAAGACTTCCCAGAACTTGAGCCCTGTGGTAATATGTTTTAAAATACCTAAAACTTGTTTCTGCATTATGGATTTTCTAAAGCCTGCACTTTCATAGTTACTTGCTTTAACGTGCTTCCTTTTTGTTTACTTTAGTGGTAGAATAAGAGCTTTGGAGAGGAATAAGCTCACAAAGAAGACTTTAGAACTGGCACAGCAGTACTTCTTGCCCCCGTACGCTTTCCAGATTCGAGTTGGTGCTCTGTACCTTTTGTATGGGCTCTATAGTACACAGCTTTGCCAGCCAAAACAAAAGGTAATTGTTCTTGAGGTTTTATTCCAGGAGATACTAGATGTAAGATATATGGTATAACTCTGTCTACTTTGTCATCGTAAATGCGTAGGGTATTTTCTCTCACTTTCTTAAAAGAAAAATATTTAGAACCCTTTGGAAAAGGTAGCCTTTCAAACACCTTTGGGTTTGAGAACTTACATGGTGGTGACTAAACCATTGCGTATGCCTCCTAAATTGTAGCTGTGATCTCAGAAATCTTGTTTGCCAGATAGGAAGCTCTTCTCTGTTCAAAAATGAAGAAGACGAGCTTTCAAAATGGGAACAGAGCATGTGCTCATCAGCTCTGTGGAGAACTCCATCACAGCCCCAGTTATTCCTTAGAATTTCAGCAGAATGAAGACTGGCTGAATTATTTCCAGTTCCTGTTAACCAGAAGTGGAAGTGGAGTTCGTAAATAGGTTGAAAGGGTGAATGCCTGAATGACATGTCTCCTTGCTGCTTCTAGGACAGGAGACCAGTATATAAAGGAGTTGGAAACTCAGTGCAAGGAGAAGTGGTTTACTTGGAAACTGTGATGTATGTTGTGTGCATATGCACAATTGAGTCCAAATTCTTTAAATAAGAAACTGAAGTTTAAGTATTCTACAATTCTACATTACATCTCATATCTTAACTTCAAAGAAGTCAACACCTTTTATGGAGATGAATTTAGAGAATTTTAAAACCACTGCTATATAGCAACTGTTAGAGAGTCCAGGAATTATCAAAGAAGCTAACTTAGGTAGAGAGAAAAGGAAGTGGGCAGAGTACATGGGAGAGGAAAGGAAAGCAAGAAGATAGGGATACTTTTATGAGCATTTCACTGGCAATGAATCATGGTACAAGCGTTATTTCCTAATCATCTAGTGAGTGAGAGTCTCCTAGGTGCGTATTATTTCAGGCATCTCGGAATGTGAAGAATTAACTTTTTTAAATGGCAAAGAGGGCTTGTGTTCCATGTCACTGTCAAAGAAGGCAACTGCAGTGAGAATATTTAACACAACAGTACAATAAGCTTATCTGCATAAAATTTTGATAGTAGTAACAAATGTTATGGTAGGATCTATAACATCTACTTTCTGTAGTTCTGTGATCATGTGACACATGATTACACCCTAGACATCCAAGTATTGTGCATAGTATAACATGATCACAGTAGTCAGCCAAGTTCATTTTTATTTGTTGAAATATGCGGGTCGGTATGACAGTATACAACTGTTTTGTTGCAGATCAGAATCGCGCTCAAGGATTGGCCTGAAATCCAGAGATTTCAACAGGATCTGATAGACTCCCAGCATTATGATGCAGCATACATCTTTAGGACACTGCGACTTTCCAGAGCATTCCATTTCACAGCAATGCCAAAGCTAGTGAGTTATTACGTTAATGACTTACCATTTTTAATAAAATATCTTCGGCTTTCAATGGCTGACAGCTCAACAGCACTCGTGTTTAGTTTAGCTTTGGTGCTGTGTTGAAATGTAGTACGTCTTGTTTTATGTAGCTAGGTATGTGACGTAAAGCTTAGCGGATGTTTGAACGTAGCATGCTTCTCACCTGAAAATATTTTTTTTGGTATTTAATGTTCTTATTAGATTTGAGATGTCCTATAATTTGAAATGTCAAACTCTTAAGTCTGGGTGCTGGATTGAATTCTTGACTAGAGAATAATTTTTGAAAAGTGCTGACTCGGAGCACTTGACAGTAAAGCTGCGCGCTTTTGTTGATGAGATGGTTTTATGCCTTTCAGCATCTTTTGATGGTTGGATATGCGGTAAGAATTTTCAAGAGAAGGTGCCATTTTAAGTTTGCTGTTTAAGTTACAAAGCATTGTCTCTTGCTTTAGCTAAACTACAGAACTAAGAAGAAGATTCAGGAAAACGAATTTAAAGAGGAATTTAAGGACCCAAGTAACAGAGTTAACAGCCTCATCACTAATGATGTACTGGAGGTACAGGAACTTTTAAACTACAGATTGATCACTGGGGGTTTTCTTTGTTTTGTCTTGTTTTCCTTCTGTTGTCCAAAAGCTATAACTTCTCTAATTAGCACAGTCTTGTCCTTTGTAAGTCGTCTTTTGGAATGCAGACTAGGGTAATAGTCTGTGCCAGCAATTTTACTGAACGCTCAGAAACACAGCATTTATTTTGGAAGAATTGTGGTACCTTTTTCAATACTGAAATATGCTCTAATGTTTTGTGGTTTTGCCTCAGTAAGATGTAAAAGGGGAAGGGTGTAAATGGTCAGCTGTCACTTGGGCAGAGAAAAATGGAAAATGGTGAGTGGGGGGAAGCGTGTTTGTTTGATATGTCTGCAGGTTGCAGCTGGAGGCTTGATACTTGCAGTAATATAAATTTACTCGTCTGCAAGTTTATAGCCTTCTCTAACCTTTATTTCTCCTTTTAAAACTTGGTTTTGTTTAATATATAAAAGGTTTTATAAAAAATGGAGGAGTTCAAGGCAAGTATAGGTTCTTATATTGCTCATTATGACTCAGTAGTAGATCTTTGTTTATGGGTTTTTCCAGTTGCTGCTAGCAAATATGTACCATCAGTAAGGCTGACTACAGTGGTACAAAAATCAGTAATCTGTGAAATGACAGGGTGAGAAGACCTTCCTCAAAAGGAGGTATTAAAATGCTTCCTCCAAACTGATGAACGTAGACCACCATATCAGAATGAAACCTCTATGAACAGTGATCCTGAGCATCACTGAGACTTCCTTCTTAGTTTAAATAATGAAAAATAGTCTTTCTCCTTTTGCTTAGTTGATGGACTGATGGGACAGTGCTAGGTAGCAGTATTGCTAGACTCCCTAAAACTGAACTGATACAAACAGAATCTGTTTCTAACATTCCTGCTGGTTCAATGGTCTCCTTAGAATGGTTTGCATAACCCTGGTTTTGTTCACTGAGGACTAATGTTGCTTTACTGCTGGAATCTTTTTTTCCTGAAAGAGTCTCTTTCTTTTTATTTTAGGAACTGATGAATATTCATGATCACTATCAGAAAATGAAGTGTGTCATTTCAGCTGACAAATCCCAGCCAGACAAGGCCCTGAGCTTGATAAAAGATGAATTTGTAGTTACTCTTAAAGACATAACCTTGGAACATCAGGAATGGCAGCAGAACAGAATGGTAGGTAATACCAACCATTGTGCTGTGGCAACTTAACAGATTGTGTGAATATGTAAGAACCGACTGTCTTAGTGTAATTACCTCTGTGCACACTTCATAAATCTCAGACTTAAGTAGAAGAAACTGTAACGCTGAAGACATGGAATGAGTAAAACCCTAGGCAGAAATATGGTGTGGGGAGAAGGACATGGACTCATGTGTGGTACTGCCTCTATGGTAACATAAGTGATTGCTGAGAGGTAGGCTCTGGAAGATGTGACTTATGGGAAGTATTAGAATGACTGTATGAAATACCTCTGTAACACTTATTGTTGGGTCAAGGAAAGGCCATAGTGTAAGATTGATGAAGAAAATGTGTGTATGTGTAAATATTTGTTTTGTTTTTCACAATTCTTGGATTTTAGCTGCCTTGTATATGACAGATGTTTTAAAAAAATATTTTGTGGTTTTTTTTCAGAAATTATTCCTAAATGCTAAAGAAACTGATGAAATATCAAACAAAAAGGAAGAAGAGATTTTGCTAGAATCAGAGGTAAGAAAAATGAACTAGTTTGCTATGTTGCGCAGGCTAAATCCATTAGTTTCTTGACTTCAGGTCACAGGCTAAACAGTGTATGTCAAGGCTTGATAGTGTCAGAGTAAGTTCCAGGAATAGCTAGTGGGGCTGGTTGGGTGGTTGGTGTTGTGTTTTGTTTTGGTTTGGTTTTGTTTTTAAATCGTATTGTTTTCTGTTAAGCTGTGAGCATTCACTGCTGTGATAGCTCTTGGATGCTCGTAATAAAAAGTGTCTTTCAGGTAAGGAGGAGAAAGAGCTGTATTTTCTTGGCCAAACTCCTTTATGGTTCCTCCTGGAGTTTCAACTAAACGCAATATCCATTTTTTATGATACCAAATTATCTCGTGTTGTACTTATGTGCTTATTTCAACTTTGAATTTGAGTAAGATGTGAAGTTTCAAATTTGATTTTCTCCTCCTGGACTTTGTAACAGTGAAGGCAACCAAAATTATGGTCTGCCTTTTTAATGAAATTTGAACTTTTTTTCTTTAAGTAACAGTTCGTCGGCATTCTAATTATATAGAACTAATTATAATTATAGAATTACAGCTGTAGTGAGATACTGCTCAAGTGATTGTCTGATGTGATATTTCATTTAAATACTGCTATAATAGAATATGAGAACTTTTTTCTGACTGATCTCTGTTTCATTGCAGGGTTCTGAAAGAGCAAATGCATTGGCTAGAATCAAATACAGGTCTTACTCTGCAGTTGTTGAGGTAGGTATAAAATTTGATGATAGGGATGTATTTATTTTTAAAGAACAGTTTTAAGTACCAGTTTAATGTAAATGCTGGGTCAGAAAGGAATGAGTTAAAATTGCACTCTGTAATTCAACCTTTGAATGTTCTGGTTTTCCTAACGCATTGGGGAAACCCGAAGCTCTTATTATTCTTGTTAGATTTATGGAAACAGTGCAGATATGGTCTATGCTCGGGGGATTTTAATTTACAAGGTATCTTTTAATGTCTGTGCTCCATTTAAGTAGATGGATTTTTAAGTAGATGGAATAAAAATACTTGTGAGTTTAATTGCTCAAATTTCTTGAAGCTTAGATATTGGAATCTCTGAAGATGCTTGCGAAAATGGAACTTGGGGGTTTAAAGTCAGTTGGAAGTTCTTGGAAACTGTTTCAATAACTGCTACTTTAAAAATACTGTGGATTTGTCTTTTTTTGTAGCAGACGTATGAGAAACATCACAACTTTCCTTGTTTATTAAAATCTCTTATTGAAAAATGCATTATTAAATGAAGCGGAGCTCTGGAATGTACAACAGGCCAGATTTGTGAATATGCAGTGATACTGTTTTCCAGGCACCTAAGCAAAATATGACAGTAAGGAGGCTTTACGGTGCAGCAGGTTTTGGAAGTGTTCCTTTTGCTTGCACACAGCGATGTGCAACGTGGTGTAGGTTGATGCCAACAGGGAATGGTTTGAAAATAAATAAATGTTTCATTACCTGAATTTTGAGTGGTACACCCGTTAAATCATAGAATGGTGTTGTCCTGTTAAAACTGAAGAACAGTAACTGTGGATGGAAATCCTCCTTCCCTCCTCTTCCATCCCTTCTCCACCCTGACATGGCAATTGATGCTTTGGTCCTTGCTGACTTGTAAAGTACTGGGTGACATACAGTAATATCTGGCTGTAGAAGTTTAGCTTTTTTGTATCATTCATATGTACGTTTGGGTTCTAGGCTTCCAAATCCAGAAGACATCGTCAAGTAAAATTGGAATCTTCTGAATCAGGATCGAATTATGGGAAATCTCCAAACCGAAGTAAAAAAAACAGTCGGAGACCACAGCCAGCAAGGAGGAGAGATTCTTTGGAAGTCAAAGGTATTTCTCCATTGCATTCGTGAACCTGGAGGGTCTGCAAAAGTTTATACATTGCTTTGCTAGCTGGGGCAGCTGGGTTAAATTTTGCTGTTGATCAGTGGAGGCAGAAGAATAAAGAAATGTTTTGTGATAGCCCTATCATAATTGAACCTTTCTGTCTGTTTTCCACACTCTGGTCAGGTAGCAAGACAACATGAGCGCATGCAGTTTTATTGTTAATCTGAAGTCTCATACATAGTCCTGCTAATTTTTCTCTGGAAAGCCGTGACCTTGGAAAAGCATGTCCTGTGCGGCAGTGTCTCAGTTTTTCCTATTGCCATATAACATACTGGAGATTAAGATATGCGTCTTACTGTTTCTTCTTCTGACAGATAGCTTCTACTTCTGAAGCTGTTTTTTTGATGAAAATCAGCCTATCTGATAATTTTGATAGTTCATACTATGTTCATGAAATCCAAAGTAAACCTTGCCTGTTTCTATTCTGTTCCTGAGATCTTGAAGGAATATCCTTTAATATTTCTGAAGAAAAAATGATATTGATGTCTTAATGATGATGATTGCTTTATAAGGCTAGTACCTGCACCATCCCATCATTCATTCTCCTTTCATCTGATACCTGTTATTTATTTTGTTCTCTCGTTACTGAAATTTTTAGCACTTCCATGACAATACAAATCTTTTGTCATCAACTATGTAGTTTCAAAACTCTTACCAAATTGTTTCCTTAATCTCAGTATTGCAATTATTACATTATAACAGTTCTAATTTGTTTAGTTTATAGCTAGACTTACTTTTTCCCTTCTTGACAGAAGGGTTTTTTTATACAGCTGTGACTTGTTTTTTGTGGTTCTATTCTGTAATTCTATTCTATTTCTCCTGAGCATTATAATTTTAGCTAGGAATAAAAACAATTTTAAGGAGCAAACTTTTTAAAAACAGGTACAGAGTACTGATGTCCAATCTCTGGCTCCTTTTTTCTTACTTTGAAATGCACCCTGGAAGGAAATAGTTTTAACTGCTTGTACTTGGTATCGTTCTGGTTTATCTCTACTGATACAAGAAGCATTGGGATGTCCCTGTATGCGCTCAGTGAAGCCCTTAATGTAGTCAGAAAAAGACTTCAAACTTTTAACAAGAAATATGGAATATTAAAGCTCCCCTTGAATGCTGTGGAGAGGATAGAATTTTGTGGGTGACAAGAATGGCTGCCTATAGAGCGAAAATGCCTATAGAGAGAATAAGTATAAACAGAATGTAACGGAGTAAGCGAGGATACAGTGAATGTTTTTAAAAGTGAGAAAATTGGACTGGGAACTCTTTTCTGCCTCAGACCAGAAGTTTTTTTCAAAAAAAAAAAAAAAAAAATTGACTTACCTGATCCAAAGCTGCTAAGTTAATATCTTTTTCATTTCTTTTATTTGTGAAGTTTGTTGAAAGTATGATGGTGAGACCAAGAACTTAAAGGATTAGCCATTTATATGGATTCTTGTGGTATGCTGTCATCATTTATGTTAATATATTCTGCAAGAGATCAAGTCTCAGAACTTGAGAACTGGCTCATTTCAATGTGAGATAAGACCTGGTGTGAGGGTACTCTGCTAGATCAAAAGAGGAGGTGAGGAAGGAGAGGGAGATCAGCTATTTCAGGTCTCTGTTGGAGAGATCCTATCTGGTGTTGCTGATCTTTGGCATATCTGAACTGACTAGTGACTGATTTAGTTATTTTACTATCATAGCATTTATGTCATAGAATCATTAAGGTTGGAAAAGACCTCTAAGATCGAGTCCAACTGTCAACCCAACACCACCATGCCCACTAAACTATGTCCCTAAGCACCTCATCTACACGTCTTTTAAATACTTCCAGGGATGGGGACTCAACCATTTCCCTGGGCAGCCTGTTCCA